CGGCCACCCCACCGCGGCGGGCCTCGCTCGGGCTCACAGGGAGGGCGTCGGGGCGAGCGACGCAGCACCTCACCGGGCCGCCAGGGGCAACTTGTTGCGCGGGGGCCTCGGCCACCCCACCGCTGCGGGCCTCGCCCGGGCGCGAAGGGAAGGCGGCGGGGCGGGCGTCGCAGCGCCCAACCAGGCCGCCAGGGGCAACACCATGTGCGAGGGCATCGGCCACCCCACCGCTGTGGGCCTCACAAAAAGCAGGCCTTTTCCCCTGGGCATACGGGGCGCGCGCAGTTGCGCTGCCGTCGATCACGTCCGGGCCATGCTCTCCAACTGGCGTTGATTGAATCGAAAAAGTCAGCCTCCAAAGTCGAAACCAGAGCTGGCCTGACCTCTGAGGGGGTAGCTGCAGGGTCCACCTGACCGCTTCTGCTCCCCTGCGCGGTCGGCTTGCACTTGGAAGGGACAGACGGCGCGCGCGATGGGGGGTCCACCTGACCACCTCGTTGCTCGTCGTTCTGATCGTCCTGGAAGATTGCGAGCTGGGCGGCTGCCTTGCTCACGTAGCCGCGCACTTGCATGATGTGCTGGGCCCACCTGGCCGCAACAGTCCACGCGCTCGCGTCGGGCCCGCGTCGTGCTCGTCGTGCAGTAGGGCGCCGCTGGAGTTGGCGCGTGCGCTGCTGGACTGGGCCTCTCTGCCCACGTAGCGCTGCCTGAGAGAGCCGACGATGTCGCGTCTTCCCGCAAGCTCCTCCTCAACGCCTCGGAGGACCAAATCCCATGCTGTCGCGAGCTGGGGAAGAGACTGCGCCTGATCGATGGAGCCGTATACCTGCCCCCAGCCGTGCCAGGGGTAGCGCGCACACCCCACAGTCAGCTCCCGAGGAAAGGGCCTCGGTTCGTCGAGCTCGAGGGCGATCGGCGGCTCTGCGCACTTGGCAATGGCCAGCGCGACGGGCCGATGCGGCCAGGTGATGTCAGCGACGGAGACGCCAACCTCGAACGCGACGTCATGCAGCGTCGTGGCAGGCACGGCCTGCATGCAGGTCGGCTCCAGCGGGGCAACGCACCTGGCGCTAGCCAAGGGGACCAGTCATGCTCCAGCAGCTCCTGCGGCGACATGTTGAAGTCGCCGCCGACGACCCACGCCGCCCCAGAGCCTGCGACCACGCGCTTCACATGCTGCACGACCTGCCACGCCAGCGCCAGGGCGCGGGGCGACCTGCCCTCGCCCACGTGGAGGCAGGGAGCCACCGCCACAAAGCCGCCAGGAAAGGGCAGCATGGAATTGGGCCGCCACGGTCCTGCCTGGCACAATGATGTCGTCGTCCAACAGCAGCGCCTGGGCGACGGCGATGTCGATCTTGGCCAGGACCACGACGCCTCCCTCAGTGCCCCCAGCCGCGGTGGGCAGCGCGGGCACCAGACGCCACGCCAGCCAGCGTCTTGGGCGTCACCCTGCACCTCAGAGAGCTTGTCAGAGCGCGCGCGGTGCTCCTGCGCGATGACCACGTCGCTGCTGCAGCCGACGAGGTACTTGGACAATGTGCCGAAAGAGGTGGCATGAACAGTGGTACTCTGCAGCTTGGTTCTCGCCATGATCGGCGACAGGGAGAACTCAGGCCGTGCGTTGGGCGTGGCCAGGCGGAGGCGCTTGACAGCTTCTCGGAGCTCATCCTCGGAGGCTTCAGCAGCATCAGGGAACGCAGCACCAGGAGTCGAGCAGGTAATCGCGAAGCTCTTCTGCAGTGGCCTGGTCGACCGACTCCTCCTCCTGGACCTCATCGGCGTCGCCTGCCATGGCAGCATCCTGCTGCTCTCTGGCTGCCTGGGCAGCTGCTTCAGCTGCCTGCTTCTCGTTGGCCTCTCGCTGGGCCTGGGCTTACTGCTCCTGGGCCTGGCGGTGCTGGCGAATCTTGCCCACCACTGCAGCCACCTCCTGCTGAAGGTCAGGAGCAGCGCCAGCAGCCAAAAGCACCTGCCCCAGCTTGGGCAGCGTCCAGCTGCTCTGGTCGTTGCCAGCGTCGGCGCCAGATGGCCCCGTGGGCGGCTGCGGCAGAACGCCATCGAGCTGGGCCCGCTGGCTCTCGAGCTCGAGCAGCTGCTTGCGGGACCCCGCGAGCACGGCATCCTGCGAGGCGGGCTCCGCCTGCAGGGCCACCAGCTGCGCCTGCTTCGCCTCGCGGGCGTTCTGCTGCTTGGTGATCTGCTGCTCGACCTTGATGATCTTGAAACCGAAAGTTTTGAGCTGCTGCGACGGCGGCTTCCCCTGAAAAAGCTGTGCCCGCAACTTGGCCTGCTCAGCATTGTACTGCGCCACCAGCTGGGCAACCTCTGGAGTGTCGACGCCAGCCAGCTGCTTGAGAAAGCCATCCGGCTTGTCCAGCCGCTTCTTGACGGCAGACTCGGCACCGGTGTCGCCCTCGCCGCTCTCGGCGCTGGCGGGGGGCGCGCTCGCCTCAGGAGCCTTCGCCTTCGCCAGCTTGATCTCCGACGTGACAGTGCGCACCTGCTTCTGCATCGCCAGCAGCTGCGCCGAGATGGAGCCTGCGCCTTTGCCTCCACCACCGCCTTGGGCCCAAGGAGCTGGCTTGGATGGAGTAGTAGACTTGACAGGGCCCCCGTACACGATGCTTTCTGCCAGACCACAACTGTTGCATCATAGCTTGTCGGCGAAGTTGACATAGGGCTTGTGATCACGTCCCAGGCAGGATTTGCATAGCCATTTGTCACGACGTGCTGCACGAGTGCCTGGCTCCCCTCCAGCGGCAGTTGGCGCCATTGCTCCTCAACCACAGACTCTGAAGCTGTGCCCGCGAGAAGCAGGATGACGGCCAGGCTGGCCACAAGAGAGATAATCTTGCTCGAAGTTTGTTGCCTCAAAGCGCGAACCCCCTCGCGCTCAGAGACGCCCGAGAACGGACTCGCGGTCGTCGGGCGGTTCATAGCCTTGAGCCAACATGGCTACGGTTGCGTGTGTGTGCGTGTGCGTGTGCGTGTGCGTGTGCGTGTGCGCGTGTGCGCGTATGCGCGTGTGCGCGTGTGCGCGTGTGCGCGTGTGCGCGTGTGCGCGTGTGCGCGTGTGCGCGAGTGTGCGTGTGTGCGTGTGTGCGTGTGTGCGTGTGTGCGTGTGTGCGTGTGTGCGTGTGTGCGTGTGTGCGTGTGTGCGCGTGTGCGGTGCGGGTGTGTGCGTGTGTGCGTGTGTGCGTGCGTGTGCGTGTGTGCGTGTGTGCGTGTGTGCGTGTGTGCGTGTGTGCGTGTGTGCGTGTGTGCGTGTGTGCGTGAGTGCGTGAGTGCGTGTGTGCGCGTGTGTGCGCGTGTGTGCGCGTGTGTGCGCGTGTGTGCGCTTGTGCGCTTGTGCGCTTGTGCGTGTGTGCGTGTGTATGTGTGTGTTTGTGTTTGTGTTTTTTTTTGTGTGTGTGTGTGTTGGTGTGTTGGTGTGTGTGGTGTGTGTGTGTATGTGTGGCCTCCAAGACGGCTCAGATGGTCCCAAGATGCCTTCAAGACGGCCCAAGATGCACCCAAGACGGCCCAAGATGGCCTCAAGATGGCCCAAGACTGCCCAAGACGGCCCAAGAAGTCCCTAAGAGGCCTCCCAGACGGCCCAAGAGGCCTCCAAGAGTTCCTCTAGAAATGCCCGAAGAGGCCAAAATCATTGATTCCCCTTAGGTGTTCGAAAGATTGTGGCATTTGCGCCTTGGCGGCCTTCCGACGGCCCAAGGCGGCCCAAGAGGTCCCCAAGGTCGCCCTAAGATCGCCCAAGAGGCCTGCAAGATGGCCGCATGACGGCCCAAGAGGCCCCCAAGACGACGACATCCAAGACGTCCAAGATACTCTCCAAGACGGTCCTGAAGCGCCCCAAGAGAGCCTCAAGTCGGTTCAGAGAGGCCCCCAAGACGGCTCCCGACGGTGTCAGACGGGCCGGGAACGTCCTAAGACTGCCAAAGAGGCCCACAAGAAGCCCCTCCCAAGAGGCCTCTAAAAGGCTCCCAGGAAGCTCCGCAAAGGCCTCCCAAAAGGCCTCCCAGGCGCCGCAACGGTTCCCAAGAAGTCTCCTCCTCCTACTTCTCCTCCTCCTCCTTCCCCATCGTCCTCATCTTCATCCTCATCCTGCTCCTGATCATCATCATCATCCTCCCTCTCCTGATCCTCCTTATATTGCTCCCCCACCCCCCACACGTTCCCCGAAGGCTTTCCAAACCGACTCGGGGAACAACTGGCCCGATAGCTTGGCCAAGCTCTAGCCCAGCTGTCGGCCACATAGGCGCTTCCAAAGGGGCAGGGGACGGCGGTGATTCGCCGTAGGCGTCTTCGATAATGCCAACGTCTCAATATGCGCTGATGATTCCGATCCGCCCCCGCATGATGTTCCCAGATGCGCCAAGGCAGCGCCGAAACGCACCGACAAGACTCTGGTCAATCCCATTATTATAGAGAGGGTGTCGGCAGCAGGGGCCGAAGACCTCACGGATATGTGGCACCGCGCAGGTCAGAGTTTAAACAACGGAGATTGCACCAGATATTGCACAACATATTGCACCATATAGATTGCACTACACATATTGCCCCACAGAGATTGCACCCAATACACTGCACCACGTCGACTGCACCACATCTATTGCACAACGCAGATTGCAGCACATACATTGCATAACATAGAGTGCCCTCGCATAGGTTGCACCACGTCGATTGCACCACACATATCGCACAACAACACAGATTGCACAACGTATAGTAAACAATAGAGAATGCACCATACATGTATACAGATATGTATTGTATCATATTTATATATAGCTCCAATAGATTGCACACAATGCCACAAACACTCTGATTGGGGTCCGCTGGGTAACATTCTATGCCAATGTACATTCACAGTTTGCCACATAGCGGCCCAATTGCTGGCCAATCCGGGACACACTATCCGAATCTTATAAACGACACACGGCTGACACTGTACAGAGTGAACAGATGGGGCATGCGAAGAAGGAGTCTAAGTTCGGGGCAGGTTCAGCGAGACCAGGTAGGTGAAGAGGAGCTTGAAGAAACCGCCACCTGATTCTCAAGCTGCTCATCAGCCGCCCAGCTCCCGAGATAGGGTAAAATAGGATACGAGACGAGAGGACAACAAACATCGTATCGGATATCCGCCATCGTGCGGCTGTGGCACGAAGCGGAGTGTTCCCAGGTCCCTTGCCCAACCCCTGAGCCTCAGTCTTCACTTCCCTCCTCCCACCCGTCCCCTCTTTTAGGGGCTGCGCTAACTACGCGTGGCCGGTAAGGAAGATGTGCCACCAATGGGGGTACGATCGATGACGAAGCCGGCGGGTATCGATGGTTTGGGATATACGTGTTGGATTATACGCGAGCAGATAAGAGGACCAATATTGCCATCATTGTTGTGGTTGCTCTTGCTGCAATTTTGAGCCTCCGACGTCCCTGGAGGCCTCAAGGAGACCTCCAGACACCACCAGGCCAGAGACCTCCGGAGGGCTGGACTTCTGGCGGGATCCTGGCGTTCTTCCTTTTCCTCTACCATCCTGTAGTGGTGGGTGCTTGTTTTGAAGAGACAGCGCCCCGCGTCCTCCTCTCCTCCTCCTCCTCCTCTCCTCTCCTCCCTCCTCCCTCCTCGTCGTCATCTCCATCATCATCGTCGGCGTCATCGTCATTAGCATTATCATGCCTCTCACGTTTTGTAGAAAGGGAGCCCCACCGAAGTTCCCAGTAGCAGGGTTCGTATGGCGCCACCACACCCATTTCGGCACACCCCTCACACGGTTCGTGGCACCCACAGGGGGTTCCACAAAAGACCCCAGTGGCAGGCTTCGCATTACGCCACCGCGCCTACTTCGGCACACCCTTCACATGCTTCGTGACCCCATAGGGAGCTCCAGCGAAGGCCCGAATGGCAAGATTCGCATGGCGCCACCGCACCTATGTCGGAACACCCCTTACACGTCTCATGGCCCCATAAAGAGCCACACCGAGGGCCCCAGAAGTAGGGTTCGCATGGCGCCACCGAGCCCATGTCAGCACCCCCCCTCACACGTTTCGTTGCCCCACAAGGAGCTCCACCAAAAGCCCCAGTGGCAGGGTTCGCATGGCGCTACCGCACCCATTCCGGCACATTACTTACAAATTTCATGGTCCCATCAGGAGCTCTGCCGAAGGTCCCCGTGGCAGGGCTCGCATGGCGCCATCGTGACCTCTCAGGGAGCTCCACCGAAGGCCACAGTGGCGAGGTTCGCATGGAGCCACATCACAAATTTCGGCCCCCCCCCTCACACTTCGTGGCCCCATAGGGAGCTCCACCGAAGGCCCCAGATGGCAGGGTTCGCATGGCGCCACCGCACCCACCCCTCACACGTTTCGTGGCCCCATCGGGAGCCCCACCGAAGGTCCCAGTGGCAGGATTCGTATGGCGCCACCGCACACATCTCGGCACCACCCTTACAGATTCCGTGGCCCCACAGGGAGTTCCACCGAGGGCCCCAGTGGCAAGATTCGCATGGCGCCACCGCACTTATTCCGGCACACCCCTCACACGTTTCGTGGCCCCATAAGGAGCTGCCCTCTTTCTGCCCTCTTTCATCCCACCTGCCTTGCGGCACTCGCACCCGTAAATGATATGGTCCTTCGCCAGGATAGTTTTCGGCCTCTGGGGGCCGCTTCGGCCTAGGCACCATCAGAAAGCTATCCAAGATGAACGATGGGCCCTTTGGAAAGGGTCGCGAGCTCTGTGGCAAACGGATTGAAGAAGTATCTGCTGGGGGTCTGTGGAGCGGACCCAACAACAGCGACAGTGCAGCTCGGCGACGCAGGCGCGAAGCCAACGAGCTTGCTTAATAAAGCGTGCAGCGGAGAATGCGCGGCGCAGCTGTTCCACCGACACGATTTCCTCGAGTCGGCCCCGGCGCTTCCAGACGCAGAAAATTACGAAAACCATCTGGTGCGACTTTTTAGTCGCCAGAGGTCTGGGTCTCCAGAGCAGTCCTGGGAGGCCCCTGGAAGTCTCCAGAGGCCTTGGGTCGAGCTGGCCATGATCTCTGCAGGTGTGCAGCTGGCGTACCCTGACACAGGATGTCCCTGTCGAGACAGTCGGAAGAAGCGCGAACGAGAGAAACGTGCACGCAGCCGCCTGGCTTTCCGGCGCAGGTCTCTACATCGCTCCACACCATCGCCTCCACCGCCGCGCCCTTGGCCCCGCTAGACCTCCATGGGTGGGGAGGCACCATGCCAAGCCTACCGATCCACGTCCTGCCGAGGCATCCTCCTGCCATTCCTCCCAGGTGACTGCCCTTCCATGCATGCTGACCTTGAGGTGATTTGCAGCCGCCCAAGTCAGTGCTTCTGTCTCCCAGCGCTGCTGCTGACTTTTACTGCAAAACTCAATCCCAACGATGACCTCACCCCCGAACACTGCTTATCACCACAGCAAAGCTGCGCCGCAGCGTGAGACAGAGGAAAGCATGACGGCCGGAGCGTCGCCGAAACCATAATCACAGGCGCAACCTGCGATGTCACACCGTGAAACAAACGTATAAGGCATAGGGCGAAAGGAGCTGCGAAGGAAAAGGTCCGAGGCACACCCGACCCGAGAAGTACGACATGCTACCAAGCAGACAGGGGAGAAGGGGGAGGAACGGGGCACAACGGAAGCGGAGCAGGGGCTCGTAGGCGCGGAGGCATTCAGATCGAGCCTTGTAGCACGCCACAAGCTTCGCTCATGCCTCTCCCGCGCCGTGCCATTTAGTGGCTGCCAGGCTCGACGTGGCTCTTGTGTGGTCACGCGCCAACGAGGCTGGAAGCCTTCTCCTTCTCCTCCTACTCCACCTCGGTGGCTCACTTGTGGTACCGCTTTACCGGCACACGGGACACAAACATGTACCCACAGACAGACAGAACCAAAGAGACACACACACGCACAGAGATGGCGGGAGGCTGACAAGAGACAGACAAAGACAGACAAACAGACGGACATACAGACACAGGGAAGCCTTTGGGCACATGCCCAAGGACTGAGAACCGCGAGGACTTCCCATGCAGCGGGCTTGCCCCCTCTCGGGGCGGAAGGCTCGGACTTCGGACTTTCGGTGGCCCCTCTTTGGGCCGTCCTCGGGCTCTCTTGGGCCGTCTTAGGCGCCTGTTGGGCGGTCTTGGGCACCTCTTGTGCCGTCTTGGGGCGTTCTGGGGGGCCTCGTGAAACGTCGTGGAGCGTCGGAAGCTGGAGAAGACGAGAACCCCAGAACCATTGAAAAGAAAACCAACTGCAGATCAAGGATGCTGGCATCTCGGGGCCCTCTTGGGAGGGTTCCTGGAACTCTCCTGGGGCGTTTCGAAGACCTCTTGGGCCCTCTTGGAACCACCTCGAGCGTCTTGTCCAGATTTCGTAGTAAAAGGGAGGGGGTCACAACCCTCCCAGACCACAAGTTTTAGACCCCCCCAGACTATCCATCAAAGGGCGGCCCTTTGCCCAGACCCCCCCCGAACCCTCCAGACAGCTCAAATTAGACCCCCCCCCGAATGTGACCCCCTCCCTTTTATTACGAAATCTGGAGTAGCGACTCGGGGCACTCTTGGACCGTCTGGGCGATCTCCTGGGAGTCCCTCGGCCCGTCATGAGGCCCTCCTGGCTCGCAACAACTCAAGCGGGAACACTCGACGCGCCCAGGGGGGCACGCGACACGCCCGACGACTTCCAGCAGAGCGGGGTCAGGGCACGGGCATTCGCACCAGCTCGGGTACAAATATGCGCAGGGGCTGCGCAACGGCGCGGTGCACCGCCTCACGTTCGCGGCAGAGCGTGAGCTCCTCGTCGCAGAGACGGCGCGGTAGCACCACGGGCATCTCAGTGTCGGCACGTACAGCTGAATGGTGGAAGTATGGCAAATTGCTGGGCCACAATTGAAGGCATGCGAACTGAAACAACCGAACCAGTAGCAACGGAACAACAATGCCAGTCGCAGTGCAAACGAGCGCGACGAGGCGGCTGAGGCAACACCTGCACGTAGCAGATCGGCGTTGACAACATAAGCACAGAAAACCAATGGCAGCACGATACGTAATGCCAATATCAATGATGCTGGCAAGAGTGCGCACGGAAGCGCAAGCATCAAACACTCCATCCTATAACAGACCAAATCGGCGAGAAAAGGACTCGAGAGTCTGCAATCACAAGCAGCACACACATACACACACGGAAACACAAGCATACCACTGCTGCGCAGGGGCCTACACACCTGCGCTGGCCACCTGCTGGCAATGCCTTAACATGTATACCCTCGCTGACCTGAGAAGGTTGTGCTCCACGCAGCGGGTCAGCGCACGCAGCCTGATGCAACGCAAGGGAGCAGTAATACCATGAGCAGAGAATGACTCCCTCAGCCCAAGACTCCTGACAGGGTCCAAGCTTGACGCAAGCCTGGTCTAAGCGAAAGGGTGTGAACAGAATCGCGCTGAACTCTGAACTCTCCAGACTGGAGCAGGAACCGACCACCCCGACATTCCTATATGTAGGCCTACCACGAAGTGCTCTTAGAACCCCAAAAATGTACGAATAGGCAAAAACAATGTTCTTAGAACATAAACCCGATGTGTTAAAACAAGGCAACCACAGCCAGACATGCTCAAGAACATCTCGTGCAGACCACACAAAGGTTCTTAGACCATTCTCTTTGGTGGGCCTACAGGCGAGCCAGGACGTTTCGCCACTGCTTGACAAACAGTGCTTGCACTCAAGGGTCCTTTACTTCCTGGACCCGGGCGCGGCCCCTTTGCGGCCCCGCTCCGTTCCGTCGGCACAGATGTGCATTGCTTTGAATGGCTGTGTGCTGATTTACATTGCGTTGCATTGCGTTGCTTTGCGTTGCTTTGCACTGCGTTGCATTGATGTGCATTGCTGTGTAGTGCTTTGCATTGCGTTGCAGTGTGTTGCATTGCGTTGCACTGCTGTGAACTGTTTGACATGTTTTGGAATTGCGTTACAATGCTTTGATTGGCATTACTGTGCAGTGCGCTGTGCTCCTTTGTTTTCCTTTACATTCCTTGCGTTCATTGCCTTGCGGTGTATTGTGTTGCATCACACTGTATTGCCTTGCATTGCGTTGCACTGATTTGTGTCACATCCGTTGCACCACATGGATAGCACCACCTAGATTGCACCACATGGGTAGAACCACCTAGAGTACACCGCATAGGCTGCAAACATTACCATGTCGGGTCGCGCTGGCTAACATGACAAATAGCTCGTCCTTTGTTGCACTCCCCAAACAGCGCACGGTAGAGGCACGGGCAATTTGGGGGACACCTTCAATGCGCTCGCAATGTTCGCTCGGCTTGTTTGCCCCATCCCAACCGCTTGAGGGACTATCGATGCTGCTGTGCCTCAGAGGGCGGCGCAATTGGAGCGTTGGTTTCGGAATGAGGGGTCGGCTCGCCCTCGGCGTCGCGAGCACATCGCGCCATGCCAGGGGATCCTCCCAAGGACGAGACAGCGTCATGGCTGCAACCCTGTCAAAGGATTGCTAGGCAACCCTTAACTAACGAACTGCACATCCTTCATCTGCCACATTCCTCCTCCCTCCTCTTCCTCCCCCTCATCATCACCATCATCGTCACCAGCATCATCATCGCCACTCCTGGCATCATTTGCACCATCACCACCACAACGACTAACACCATCACCATCGTATCGTTATCATCATTACCATCATCATCCGCAGCATCAGCATCACTATCATCGTCACCGGCATCAGCACCATGATCGGCATCACCATCAACGGCGTTGCCATCATCGTCATACACATGACCGACTCCTCCCTACTCCACCCTCTCATTCTCTTCCTCCCTCCTGCTACTCCTCCATTATGCTCCTCACGTCTCCTTCCTCCGACGTCCTGCTCCTCCACCGTCCTGCTCCTCCTCCGTCCTGCTCCTCCTCCTCCTCCTCCTCCTGCATCTTCCTCCTCCTCCTGCATCCTCCTCCATCCTCCTCCTCCTCCTCCTCCTCCTCCCTCCTCCTCCTCCTCCTCTTCCTGCTCCTCCTCTCCTCCTCCTCCTCGTCCTCCTCCTTCCTCCTCCTCCTCCTCCTCCCCTCCTCCTCCTCCTCCTCCTCCTCCTCCTCCTCCTCCTCCTCCTCCTCCTCCTCCTCCTCCTCCTCTCCTCCTCCCTCCTGTCTCATCCGCTCTATGATTGCCCAGAATGAATGCTACTTCTCTCTCTCACTCTCTCTCTCTCTCTCTCTCTCTCTCTCTCTCCCGGCTAAGTCCTGAAAGTGTCCCGCCCCATCCGTGCATTGTTGCTAACGCACTGGATGGCATGAATTGGTATGTCCTATGTGCTTTTTTTCCAATCGGAGCGCTCTCGGTATTTCAAAGGGTGTTCCCGCTGCAGCGTAGGCCTCACTTAAGGATCGGCTCTCATCGTTCAGAACGGGCCACTCTTCTGGATCCAAGCCCTGCCTCGTCGTTGCGGGCCCGTTCATTCCCATCCTCCGCCCGCCCCTGGTCCTCCTGCTCCTCCCGCTCCTCCTGCTCTCCTGCTGCTGCTGTTGTTCCTTCTCGTCCTTCTCAATCCTCATCGGTATCTTCACCCTGATCAGCCTCTTTCTGTCCCGGCAGCTCTTCCTCCTGCAGTGTGCACTGCTCCCCTTTTTTTTCTGATTGCGCATGGCGCCAGGGTTTCCTTTGGGGTTCCAGGTCTGCTACGACACCCGTCGGCGGATAGCGAAACATCAGCGCCATGGGCAGGGATAGGTGGGCGGAGCAGGATGACAGCCACGGCGCGAGCGCACGTGGCCTGCCTCTCTCCTCTCTCCCTCCCCCCCTAGGCGCGAGGGAGTCTGGAAGGTCAGACAGCCCGAGAGGCGCAACCAGGATCTCCTTCTCCTCCTCCTCCTCCTCCTCCTCCTCCTCCTCCTCCTCCTCCTCCTCCTCCTCCTCCAGCATCTTCCTCCTCCCTCCTCCGGCTCCCTCCTCCTCCTCCTCCTCCTCCTCCTCCTCCTCCCCTCCCCTCCTCCTCCTCCTCCTCCTCCTCTCCTCCTCCTCCTCCTCCTCCTCCTCCTCCCTCCTCCTCCTCCTCCTCCTCCTCCTCCTCCTCCTCCCTCCTCCTCCCTCCTCCTCCTCCTCCTCCTCCTCCTCTCCTCCTCCTCCTCCTCCTCCTCCTCCTCCTCCTCCTTCTCCTCGTCCTCCTCGTCCTCGTCTCGTCCTCGTCCTCGTCCTCCTCCTCCTCCTCCTCCTCCTCCTCCCTCTCGTCCTCCTCTTCCACCTCCTCCGCCTCCTCCTCCTCCTCCTCCTCCTCCTCTTCCTCCTCCTCCTCCTCCTCCTCCTCCTCCTCCGCCTTCTCCTCCTCCTCTTCCTCCT